CCATACCATTTCCCAAGTTCTTCTTCAAGGCTTTCCAGGCCATCCCAGCAGGAAGCTTCTCTCCCTCATTCTTCTGTACAAATAGAAGTCCTAGCTGGTAGCATTGATGACCCTGATCACATCCTGTCTTTCCTTAGGTCATTCATTCCCTGAGTACTTACTGAGATTGACTGTGTACTAGGCCCTGTGCTAGTCATGGGGATAAAGTAGATATGAACCAACCTTCAGTAACTCAAAATAAGGTCAAAGAGGTAGGTAGCTGGTTGTAACTCCTTCAATCTATGCCAAGGAGTTCGGCCTTTATCTGGAGGGGTTTTAAAGCAAGGGCTAGGAAGATAGCATTCGTTTCACAACCCTTACAGAATGCTTGCAATATGGCAGGTCCTGAACTAGGTGCTGGGAGCCCGGGGAGAAGGAATGTGTTTTAGAATTTTTCCTTTGGCCACAGTGTGCAAGATGACCTGGGTGTGGGGAGGTAGGGAGAGCAGAGGGGCCGCTGCATAGTTCAGGTGAGAGATCATGACACTAGGGTAAGGGTTATGAAGAGATGGGGATGGACTGAGAGCTGTTAGGCATGGGTGTTGGCAAGACTTGGTGACTGAATGAATGTGGGGTGAGAGGGGCAGAGTTTAGGCAGATGTTAAGATTTGGCGTTGAGTGGATGGAGGTTGTGTTGCTGAGAAGCAAGTTTGGGGCAGATGAAGAGTCAGTCCTCAGCTGGAACATGAGCCCTCAGGTAGCGTGTGCCAGAAGTGTTTGCAGAACAGGGTACAGCCCTCTCCAGGAAGCTTGGCCAGAGTGATACCCCACCAGGCCCTGGGTGGACACTCCTGTCTGAATTCTATGGGAGAGGTGTCCCTCCAGAGCTTGAGTACATGGCCTGGGAGGTGACTTGGATCTGCCTGGAGTCTTTGGAAGGGCACCAGACTCCAACCCCAGGGTAGCCTGTCATGAAGATACTCTGGAAAAGGAAGCCCTCAGGCCAGAAGAAAGAATGCCACTTTTACAGCCCACCCCAGGCCAGTGTGGCTTCTAATCCTTACTGCTGGGAGCATCATAGAAATTGGTCTGTTCCATGTCCCGTCCCTTGCTGCCTGACTTTGAGTTAGTTACAGGACCTCTCTGGGCCTCAGATTTCTCCCAAGGGCCATGAGGAAGATCAAAGAGCAGTCAGAGTAGCTACATCCTTCTCCACCTACCACCCTCAGAGAATGAGGGATCCTGTATGCCCCCAGGAGAAGCCAGGGAGCGGGATACATGCCTTCTTCAGTACCCTAGAGCTGTGGGGTTCAAAACAGCTGACTGGGACCAGAGTCAAAGACGCCTCTGGAACACCAGGGGCAGAAGGAGGCAGGCTCCAAACCCAGTTGCCCCTTCCTCAAGTCCAAAGCACACTGAAGACTCAGGGTACAGTTCAAGAAGCTGGAGAACCCAGGGGTGGAGGCATCTAGTGGGGGAGGCAGAGCCTCTCCCGCTGTCTCCTGTGGAATGCGCCTGAGTGTCTGCGTCAGGTGCAGGGTGTGGGTGGGAACATGTCACCGTATGAGATCGCAAATCTGGCAGAGCTCAGAGTCTGTGTGTGTCATAGTGTCTGTGTGGCTCTCACCTTTTGCCCCTTTTCTCCTCCCTCCCACAATTCTGTCTCCTGGCACCGTACCTGTTCCTGGCACCCATTTGGTCCCATGCCCACTAAGGACTATATGTCCCCCTTCACTTCTCCTTATTCCCTCTGGTGCTCTTAGGCAGGTCAAAGCTGGCAGTGCCCCCTTAAGGTCATCCCCTTATGTTAGTGAAAACCCAGAGAGGGGAGAAAACTAGCTCAGAGCTATACAGCAGGTCACTGGAAGAGCCCAGATGAGCACCTAAGTTGAATCCATGCTCCTGCCTGAACCACCCCCTCCAAATCATGGCCACTCCTGTCCAATACAAGCCTTCCCCACTCCTACCTGCCTTTCGGGAAAATCATAGCTCTGATCTCCCTCTTAGCCTCAGTGGGACCATCTTGCTGAGCTCCTGGTCAAGGTGTCTGACACCCAGGAAATATCCACTCCTTAGGGTATCCCACCAGCACCTCTAACCCAGCACACCTCCAACCAGGCTCATCTTCAGCCTGTGGCCTTCCTCTCTCCATCACCCCTTCCTCCCCCCTTCTCCCAGGAGGAAATGCCATTTTAGTTAGCTTTAGTGTTCCCCTCTCCCTTTTCCCTAGGTCCAACTTGCCACCAAGTCCTATTGTTCCTCCTTTTGAAGTGCTCCTGGAACCTTCACTGCATCCTTTCTCTCCCCATAGTCAGGGCCAGGGGAACAGCCCAGGGGGCTGAAATCCAGCTGGGGCACTGCTGGGCAAGCCATGCCTGTGGGCTCAACTGACTCAGAGGAAGTGCCTTTCTTCTGATTCCTCTCTTCTGAGGGAATGTCTTTTCTGGTTTTGCCCAGAAGTACAGTATAGGCTAGGGGTGGCCATGACCATGGGCCTCCTCAAACTCCAGAATCCTTTAGAATCTGTTGTCAAGGTTCCCACCAGTCTAGCCTCATCTCCCATTGCTCCCCTCACAACAACTATATACTCCTTTCAAGCCAAGCTTCTCACAACCAGAACCTACCTCATCTATTGCTTAGCTGTTTTCCTCTCCCCTGATTTCCTTCCTTGTCTCCTGGACTCGTACAGCTATAATCAGTCTGCAGGCCTGGCTGAAGCCCCCTTCCCTTTTTTTTTCTTCAAATCCTCATTTGAGGATATTTTTTCCATTGCTTTTCAGAGAGAGTGGAAGGGAGAGAGAGAGAAACATCAATGTGAAAGAGACACATCGATTGGTTGCCTCCCGCACACACCCTGACCAGGGCCAGGGATCGAGCCTGCAACCAAAATACGTGTCCTTGGCCACAACTGAACTCAGGACCCTTCAGTCCACAGGTGGACGCTCTAACCACTGTGCCAAACCTGCAAGGGCCAAAGCCCCCTTCCTTATGATCAGCCTCTACCCACCGGGACAGTGGACAGTCGGCAGCATGGGGGCAGCATTTGGGGCATGAGTAGACCCTGTGAAGCTGTGGAGTTGAGCCCCACAAGTATGTGGACCTAAGAGCTCTCTGACCCTCACCTGGTGCTCTAGAATTCTAGGACGGAGCTTGATTGGAAGAGGCCTTCACATTAAACCCTTCCCTGAGCCAGGAAAAGTTCTCCAGGCCTTTTTGCTCAATGGCAAAGAGCTTATCCCCTCCCAATATAACCCAATCCACTTTGGAGAGGCTCAGAGAGTGAGAGAAGTGCTTTTCCCATTGTTCCTAAGTTTGCCCTCTTATAGCTGCCCCACACAGGTTCCTGCTCTGTCCCTCTGTGGCTGTACCTAACTGCCCTGCAGAGACCTAGGGGTGTTGCCTGGAACCCAGCAATGTTCAGTGAAAGTCCCTTGGTGGATTACATGAGAGGGGGAAAAACTCCCCCTTCCTCCATAGAACGGCCTCAAGCTGTTTTGTCTGTTTTCTCCTGCCATTGCACCAACTTCAGAGATAATGGAAGCCAGACCTGGCGAAAGGAAGGGTTCACCAAGGTAAAGTAGAGGCCATCAGGAGCAAAGCAAAGGCCAGAACGCACTGGGGGCATGTTCTGATGGCACTGTAGCCCTGCTGATCGTGAGCAGGCTCCTCAGCTTACCTCTTGTGGGCTGCCCTCCAGCTTTGAAGGAGCTGGCATAGGGCCATATACAAAGCCACTGCCCTCTGTGCCCAGAGGCTTCTTCCAGAGGGCAGAGCTCAGGGTTGTGGGCTTTAGATGGGGAGGTGGCAGTGAGGGTGGGAGGGACTGAGGGATGCAATAATCCCACACCCTCACCCAGCTCCAGAGAAGCTGGTGCTGAGACGGTTGCCATAGTGACAACAGCTCCCTGGTCAGGAGATTTTTTCTCTTTCCTCTCCTTCCTTTGCTCTTCTCCAAGCTTATCAAGTCTTCTCCCTCTCCTTATTAATGAGAGGCAGGGGGTGAAAAACAAAGAGTGGACTCTGTTGACCTCTATTTTGGAGCCGTCCATGCCATGTGGCCTGCTGGTCTAGGAGAGACTCCTAACAGAGGAGAAGGGGCCCAGGCCTGGGGAGGGGGTGGCCTGGACCTAGGCCTGGGTAAGAAGCAATGTCCCTTCACTGAGGACTAAAGCCCCCCCCCCCCAGGCCTCCTCTCTGAAACATCCTCATGGTTCAGGGGTAGAGAGAAAGGGTCCTGTTTTCTCATAATCAGCCATAGAACCAGAACCAGAGTGTGTCATTGTTGGAAGGCTGTTCAAGAAAACCTCATCCATCCACCCTCAGTCCTGACCCCTACCCCACTTCATGAAGGATCAGACAGGGAAGTGACTTGGCCAAAGTCAGACAGCACGAGGCAAAGGCAAGATATGAACCCAGCTCTTCTGCCCTCCAGGCTCAGGCCGCCTTAGGGGAAGGAGCAACGCAGTCCACATGGAGCTTTGGCACAGTCCCTGCAGAGCCGCAGGAAGACAGGAACTCAGAGGGAGTGACTGGGCACAAGAAGGCCAGAGAGGGTACAAATTAGAAAGATTTGAGAGGAAGAATGTGAGGACTTGGTGCTTTGGCTGTAAGGGGTGAGGGAATGGAGGAGGCTGGGACCCTAGCAGCAGTGACTGGCAGGTATGGGTGGGCTGCTGGGGTGTGGAGTCCCTGGCTCATCCTCTAAACAGGATGAGAGGCCAACATGGGGCCTCTGCTAGCTCTGAGAGCTTGGCGAGGGGGCGCTGCTGAGAGAGTGTTGAGAAGAGAAGGGCGGAAGGGGGCTGGGTTTTTTTGAGGGGGAGGAGCTGAGCTGCTGGTGGGGCTGGGTGATGTGGGTGGAGGCTATCTATGGAGGTGGGAGGTTGCCATGGGACTGGGTGGGCTACCTATCTCCAAAGGAGGGAGGTTGACTGTTGCCTCCTGTAGTATCAACACCGCACCCTCAGGGGTGCGCGCGCGCGCGCGTGTGCGCGTGTGTGTGTGTGTGTGTGTGTTGGGGGCCAGAGCAGTGGTTGTTTTCACCTGAACTGTGGGTAAGAAAGCAGCTCTGCCTCTTTTCCTGGGACCCATGGGGCCTGGACTTGGGTCGGGGTCGCCCCTCCAAATGCTGCCGCCTATGGCAGAACCTGGGGTCAGGGAAATGAATCAGAGAGGGCAGGAGATGAGGATGGGAGTGGGGAGTGGGGAGTGGAGAGTGGAGAGTGGAGGGGGAGGGAACAAGAGCCTCCGCCCAGCCCCGCCCGAGTTACCTGAGGCCGCTCGCCGGATCGCTGGATGGCTCCGAGCCTCAGCCGGCCTCGGGGACCAAGACTGGCTCGCGGGTTGGCGGCCAGGTTCTCCAAGACCCGCGCCGGAGCCGCCTCCCAGCTCTTGTATCACTATGTGTCTCTCCGAGGCGACCAGATTTGCATAAGCCCCACCTCACGCCGGGCAGACTTAGCGTTGATTGGCTCCGCCGGGGCGGAGTGGCAGGCGGGGTTTCAGGTGGGGACCCTGTGCCAGGGAGGCCCTGCTGCAGGAGCGCGCCCCGCCCGCCCGTGCTGACCTTCCCGGATTCGCTAGGGGGAGGGCTGTACCCCCACCTGCACCCCGCCCTGAGGCTCAGAGCCCCGGCCCGCAACCTGGGGTGAAAAGTGTCGACGATTGAAGTGAATTCGCAAAAACAACCGCACTGTTGCTATGGAAACGGGAAAGCCACAGCCGAGTCTCTAAACCTTCCCTTCCCGGGCCCCAGCGGGGGTGGGGATGGAAGAAGGGATGAGTCACAATATGTGACCCCCTCTATATCCCACCCGAATTTGGAAGAAGGAGCCTAGGAGCTGAGTGGGGGAAGGAAGAGATGGGGTGGCCAGCAGCTCGCGCCTTGGCATCACCCCTCCAACACACCCACTCCCCTCACACCGTGGAACGGAAAGGAGGGTGGGCAGGCGCGGAGAGCACGGCACGAATGGCGAAGTACCCAACCTTTCTCTGGCCCCACACTGGTCGCGGGCTCCCTAGAGTCCCTGATTCCAAGCCCTGCCCAGACAGCNAAAGACCTTGCGGGATCTCCCCGAGAAGGATCCCTCTGTCTATCCCATAGGCCCCTCCATCCCCACCCTCCCGTCTTCCCGTCCCGAAGTCGGAGCCGGTCCCCAGCCGCCGCCAGTCTCCGGCCTCGGATGTTGACACAAACCCAAGGCGGTTTACACTGAGCGGGTCTGGAAGGTTTCAGGGCCCCGGGAACACCTCCTCCCAGCACTTGGGGGTCTCCCCTAAGGCTGGCCGGGCCGCCCCAGCTGCACGGGCAGCTGAGAACTCCCGACCCAAGGTTGTGGGAAAGAGCCCTTTTATTCTAAATTGGGGGCAAAAGGGGAGCATATAACCTCCGGATGGGCCACGTGCAGGGAAGGGATTTCTAAACGTCCGTCAAAAGTGAGGCGGGGCGTCTGGGGATTGGTCCAATGGGAGCGAGGATGCTGAAGAGCCGCGGAGGGGGGG